TCGCTGCATCGCCGCCGCGGCCCTCGGCCTGGCCCGCTTGCGTCTCGCCGCGCCTGAAAGCGTGGTGGCGGCTGCCCGGCCCTCCTCTAGACGGCGCCCGCCGCGGACATGCCCCCCGCTCGCGGCGCGCTCCGCCCCCGCCACCCTCAGGCCTCCATCGGCGCCGGGCTCCGCCAGGTCTTCGGGGCGCCCAGGGCCGGCGCGCATGCGCGTGCGGGGTACGACGGAGGGCCCGGGCGGTCTGCGCTCATTTGCGGCCGGGCTGTGGCGACAGCGCGCTGACGTCACGACGCCGCCTCCAGGGGCGGGGCTGAGGCTCGGGGTGGGGGCGAAGCAGGCGCTCCTCGCTGGGGTGGGGCTGGCGCAGCTGACACCTGTGAGCCGCCGCGTGGTTGGGGTTTAAGAGCCCGCCAGTGCTGGGTTGTGAAACCCAAGGCTGAACGCAGGCCGGGGTGCTAACCAGCAAGGGAGGGAAAAGCAGAGAGGAAAAAGTGCGGCTTGGATGAATTTATTCGGAGTTTTTATTTCCGAAAGTCTAAAAGGAAGGTCTTGCATACAGCCTCATTTGAGTTTTAATTCACTTCCTAGATGAAGTTCTTTTTTGGCAATGCTGTTTTTATTAGACCAGAAAACTGATCAAATCAAAATCTGGACAAACTAGAAATAGAAAGTTGAGATGGATGTTAGTTAGCTCTGGTGATACTAATACAGTCTGTAGACACATTCTAGCATGACGTCCAAGTCAGAAGTATGAGAGGATCGTGGTTCCTTCAGATGCATGCTCCTACACGCCAAGACACCAATAAAGAAAATAAAGCCATGCTTTCCACGGTGTTGAGCAATCATTTAACATAGCTGTGCTTCTAAGTATTGCAAAGTAGGATGGAAATTCTAAGGAAACGACAATACAGGAGTGAGGCAAAGACAAACAGCACATGCACACTGAATCACATAATCATATTGCCAGAACACCATCAGGGAGCAGCCCTGAAATCACAGCTCCCTCTGCCATGATGTGCAATTACAGGACAGGGTGTACCAAGAGGAGAATTTCTATTTTTAATTACTTAAGCGGGGGAGGACACCATCATCTTTCCAGTGCCTGTGAAAGTCCTAACTTGCCCTGACTGGTGATGGCAGCAGATAAGGAAAATGCAGAAACCTAACTCAGTCTGTGCTTGGGGAGACCATGACACCTACCAGCAGTGCTCAACCTGATCTAACCTTTCCCACCTCATCATCTACACTCATGCACTATTTGCCTCATTTCTCTCTGGGTTTAGTGCTAAAACGGCTGTCCTACCTGCATTTAAGGTTATTCTTAGGAAAAAAAAACTCATCTCATTCAACTTAATCCACCACTCAGCAAATCAGTCTTACAAAATAATGATAAAAGGGAAAGATTGTTATATTCAGAAGAGTTAAATATGGCCAGGGACCACAAATCTGTTAAAAAGATAGAATATTGAGAAGGAAGTGGCTTCATATTTTCTTTCTTTTTTTTAAAAAAACAGGTTTATTGAGTAAGCTGCAAGAGAGCAGCAAGCAGAACAGCAACATAGGAACTGTCAGCCCATATTTTCATGAATGAATAATTTAAACGAAGACAATGCTTTAAAAATACTGATTATTTTATATTAACGTTCCATCTGCATACAAGGCGTTTATAAAATTTTAGCCTATCTCTTAGTAGTAATGTACTAACACATGTCTCAAAATTTAAAAAGAAAGTGTGAAGGATTCCAAATATGAATAGTTTCTTTACCTCTGTTCTTAGCCAATTATATTCCTTCTTCTGACACAGTATACTAATTCCTTGTCTATTCTTCCAGATTTTCTAACTAATGCCTGTTTTGCTTAGAGACTGGTGTTATATATAAATTCTCATAATAGTAACTATTACTAATACTGGTTTTATACACACAAATGCATGTCATAATTTGTTCATGTGTTTGTGTAGGTCTGATCAACTTAACTGATATAGACCAGAATGTCATCGGTAAAGATAATCAACTTCATGCTTTTCAACATCCTGGAAAGAGGCCTAGTGCAGTGGCTCACAGCTGAAATCCCAGCATTTTGGGAGGCCGAGGTGGAGGGATCGCTGAACCCAGGATCACAAGATTAGCATGGGCAACATAAAGAGACCTTGTCTCTACAAAAAATAAAAAAATTATCATGGCTTAGTGGCATTGCACCTGTAATCCTAGCCACTTGGGAGACAGAGGCAGAAGGATCACCTGAGCCCAGGAGGTCAAGGCCATGGTGAGTCATGATCATGCCACTGCACTCCAACCTGAGCAACAGAGTGAGACCCCTACACAAAAAAAAGAAAGAAAGAAAGAAACAGACTCAGAGAAATTAATTTTCCTTCCCAGGGACACATAAATAGCAGAGCTGAAGTTAATTTATTCTCTCATTCATTTTTTTCAGCAACTGTGTTGATTGCATCCCATGCTTCTTGCACTTAGCTGAAGACAGTAGAAACTAGTGGAAGTATGGGCTTCTCGTTCTCACTTTGCCACTTAGTAGTTCTGTGGCCTGTTTGAAGTTACTTGAAACCTTGATTGTATTATTTCAAAAATAGACACATTGGGCCCACTGTGGTGGCTGATGCCTGTAATCCCAGCCCTTTGGGAAGTAGAGGCGAGAGAATTGCCTGAGCCCAAGGTTTCAAGAACAGCCTGGGCAACTTGGTAAAACCTCATCTCTACAATAAAACAAAAAATTATCCGGGTGTGGTGGTGCACATCTGAAGTTCCAGCTACTTGGAAAGCTGAGGCAGAAGGTTTGCCTGAACCCAGCAGTTTGAGGCTATGGTAGCCGTAAGCGTGCCACCGAGCTCCAGCCTGGATGACAAAGGGAGACTCCAACTTAAAAACCAAATAAAATAGACATTTTATCCAACACAACTCTGTTGGAAGAAAAAAATAAGAAAATGAAAACATATTACTCTTTTTACAGGGTCATCGGGAGGAATAAATGAGATAGAGTGAGAAATGCCTGGTGTATCATCTCAATGAATATTAGTTTTCTCTGCTTCTTTTAGATATCTTTAGAATAAATTTTTAGCCTTGTTTTAAAACATTTTTCTAGGGCTTTCTTGACCTAACTTCCTCTACAGATAACTTCTCAAACCATGGAACCATTTGGCCTGAAATCTTTAAAAGCACCATCATGCTTCCTTTAGTTTTTCTGAAAAACTCCTCACATACATTTGTACATACAACTCCTTATATAAAAACTTCTTACATACATTCATACATTGCCATTAGGCATGTGACACGGTGCAGAAGCTCTGGAAAAGGGTGGAAAGCAGGTTTGCAGCGCATTGGTTACCATGGAGTCTGATGAGACAGAACACACATGTATACAAGGTACAGAAGCAAATTTGTTATTTACACCTAGATAGCAGGAGCAAAGGATTCATTGTGAGCCAGTCCCCCAAGGCTCAGGAAAGTTGCCCAGGGAGCATAGAGTCTCATCTGCATGTATCCCACTTGCACCCCAGCTGAGGGACCCTGGAAAGCAGACCACCTTGGATTTCATGTCCTAGGGTCAACATGACACACTGGGCTAAAATGATGAAGGACATCCTGTTTCTAGAAAGGACTGGAGCAGAGCCCAGGCTGTTTCAGGCAGTCCATTTATCTCAGGATATTGCATTTATAGCACATAACACAGTTAATCCTGAGAACTACAAGTAAGAAAGTGGGTAGCCAGATGTGGTGGCTCATGCCTGTAATCCCAACACTTTGGGAGATTGCCTGAGCCACAGGTTTGAGACCAGCCTGAGCTACTTGGTGAGACCTCGTCTCTACAATAAATCAAAAAATTAGCCAGGCATGGTGGTGTGC